CCCCAAAACCCCAAAACCCCAAAACCCCAAAACCCCTATTTGGCAATGAAAAATTGAATTTCAACAAGTCAATAAAAGACAATACAGTTATGATACTTCTGACTCCAGGAGTTCGTAACCTTCTCGAGCTAGCTTCATCAAATTCCTTTTGACTGGAGTTCTCAGAAACTATGACTGAGATCTAAGTCAATGATAATCCCAACTATATGCCCAGCTTCTTCAGGGTAAAACTCAGGTATGAAGACATGGAAGAGGAGTGAAGGGATAAATCTTATCACCGATTAAATTTTCTTCTCTTCTACTGAGAGGCCACAGAGTTCTGACTCTGAAGGTAAATAAGGAACCTGAGGTGGTGGTATTGAAGGCTTGGATGGTTGAGTGTTCATTTGTTGAGGAGTCTGAGAATTTGGAGTGAGTGCAGAAGGCATATTCATTGCCATAGTATTCATAGATGGACTTTTTGATGGTGTGGAGCTTATTGATGGAACTGGCATCTGTGAAGGTGGCATTGGAGGAGGGCACATAGGTAGAGATCACATAGGTGGAGGATAAATTGGTTGAGGACGAGTCTGAGGAGGATACATCTGTGGAGAATGCATCGGTGGAGGATACATCCGTGGAAGATACATCTGTTGAGGATACATTGAATATGAGTTTCTTGAGGAAATTAATCTGTTTTGTTTGCTCATTGGAGTCATTAACATCGGAGGAATGATCATAGATTCCATATCTGGTATTCTGAATTGATACTTTGATTTTGACTTATTTCTGTAATGGTACTTATTTAAAAATATCTTTCCCCTACTCTTTTGTTCCACTTTGTGATACCTTGATGCATCAGTTTCGATAGGCTGCATCATAGGCATGCTTAAAGGATAGTCGATGCCTGGCAAAATTGCTTTAGCTTTCTTTATGATTGAAGTTTTCTCCTTTTCAAAAGATCAGTGCTTTGATCTAGTCATATTCATAATTAAAGGCTTAGTAAATCCGAGTGGTATTGTTCCTTTTAAAGATGTAAATGCATCCATTGCTTCTTTTTCATCAAGAAAACTAATGGTTGCTTGCTTCACATCATCAATAAGCTGAATAGTGATTGTGTCAATATCTCCATGTAGCTCAAATATATCGGCCAAATGACTTTCAGTAAAATGTGATGGAAGATTTTTAATGCAGATATTTCTCTTTTCGAATCTCTTTTGCTTTCTACCATGACTACTAACAGTAATTATTTTCTGTTTCCAAGGAGATTGATTTAAGATCTTGATTGCAATATCTGCTTCTTCTGAAGTATTGAATTTAACATATCCACATCACTTCGAGGTACCATTTGGAAAATTTTCCAGCTTGGCTGACAACACTTCCCCAAATTTGCCGAATTTTTCAAGTAAATCTTGTTGAGTGACTGAATAATCAAGGTTTTTGACGTAAACATCAGATTGTACAGTCTTGACGTGATTTCAGTTAATTTTTTGAATATAAATCCTCTGTCCTTTAAAGTCTGCTCCATTCAAAGTATTTCATGCTTTTGTGGCATCATCTTCAGTTTCAAACAATACATTGCTTGAAACATTCAAAGGATTCCGGTGGCAAGCTTTTATGGTAGCATAAACAACAGATAAATCGTGAATGCTAAAGAAATTGATCAGATCCTGACCCATTGTTCCTGGCTTTATATTTCTAATAGAAACTTTAGAATTATCGCTGAAATTGATGTTCATGTGATTAATAATTATTTATAGACTTTTGTTTCCTCATTATTCGTATATTTTATCCAATTAAAAGCTTTCTAATCGGGGTTTTGGGGTTTTGGGGTTTTGGGGGTTTGGGG